CGTACTCACGATCCGCCACATGGGTGTTGAGTACCTGAACCACCCCAAAGGCGTGGTCCCCCACACGCAGTTCAGCGCGCTCGCGGTCCATCAATTGCGCCAGCCGCAACACCCGGTCGACATAGCTCGGCGGGCCGGACACATAGAACGTTCGCGGGCCGTCGGCACGCAGGGGAAAGTGGGATTCCTGCAACCCAGCGCGACGCATGAGGCTGCGAAACCGATCGATGGAAATATGCCGCAGCGACACCGCCGAGCTTTTCGCTTCGTTGGCGTCATAGAGATAAAACCCTTGGCCGTCGCTGTACCAGATCAAGCCATGCTGCTGCGCCAGTTCTTCCAGGGTCTGCTGCGGCGCAGTCAAATCAAACAGACCACTGACACGTTTGCGCGCCACCTCGCGACTCACCACGATCGGCAGCCCCAAGGGTACCGACAGCGCGGTGAACACCGTGTGCAGGCTCTCCTCCTGTGCCTGATAGGTCTCGCCCCAGGCCACTGCACATGCCAGCCACAGCAGGGCACACAGCCACCAGTGGCGAAGGCGGCGGCGGGACATGCGTTCGAGGAAGTCAGCGTACACCGTGGAAGTTCCTGGGGCCTGCAGAGGGAAGCGGCCATACTGCGAGGCCGCCTCTTTTCAATCTTGATGGAAAGTTAACGGCCGCCCATCACGCTTACCCCGTGGCATGTGCCTTGCTATGAACTCTGCATCAAAGCGCGTACCAACGGCGGAACGGGCTTAGGGACAAAGGCGTCGTTACCCGCAATGGCCTTGCATCGCCATCTGAGGGGGCGACGCTTTTTTTTGAATGAAAAGGTAGGTGCGGATGAAAGATTCGGTGGGCAACGGCCCGATAAGCAACGCGCTGGCGTGGGTGAACGGCAGCGATGCGCCGGAAAAGAGCAGCCTCGACCTGGGCTTTATGGCCTTGAGCGATTGCGCCTCGCTGGTAGTGGCGGCGACCCAGGGCTTCGCACAACCCTACGGCCTGACCCTGAATCTCAAACGTCAATCTTCATGGGCCAACCTGCGTGACAAGCTGGTCAGTGGGGAGTTGGATGCCGCCCACAGCCTGTATGGGCTGATCTACGCCGTACACCTGGGTATCGGTGGCGTGGCGCCCACCGACATGGCCGTGTTGATGGGCCTGAACCAAAACGGTCAGAGCATCAATCTTTCCCGTGGTCTGCAACAACAAGGGGTGGTCACTCCTGAGGCACTGGATCGCCATGTGCACCAAAGCCGAACAAAACTGACCTTCGCTCAGACATTTCCCACCGGCACCCATGCGATGTGGCTGTACTACTGGCTGGCGAGCCAAGGCATTCATCCGTTGCAGGACGTTGACAGTGTGGTGGTGCCGCCCCCGCAAATGCTTGCGCATCTGCAAGCCGGCCGGATCGACGGGTTTTGCGTGGGCGAGCCCTGGAGCGCCAGCGCGGTCGCGCAAGATCAGGGCTTTACCCTGGCGACCAGCCAAGCGATCTGGCCAAACCATCCCGAGAAGGTCCTCGGCTGTACCCACGCGTTCGTCGAGCAATACCCCAATACGGCGCGGGTACTGGTGATGGCCATCCTCGAAGCCAGCCGCTTCATTGAACAGAGCATTGAGAACCGGCGCTCCACGGCGCAATTGCTCAGCGGCCGCGAATACCTCGACGCGCCACTCGATTGTATTGAGCCACGTTTACTCGGGGCTTATGACGACGGCCTGGGCAACCACTGGCAGGACCCTCACGCGCTACGGTTTTTTGCGGGTGGCCAGGTCAACCTGCCGTACCTCTCCGACGGCATGTGGTTCATGACCCAGTTTCGCCGCTGGGGCCTGTTGCGCGACGACCCGGATTACCTGGGCGTGGCGCGCCAGGTGCAGCAACTGGCGCTGTATCGCGAGGCCGCCACCGCCTTGGGCCTCAACGCCGGGGACCAGGACCTGCGCAGCAGCCAGCTGATCGACGGCAAAGTCTGGGACGGCTCGGACCCGAGCGGCTACGCCCGCAGCTTCCGCTTGCATGCGCTGGCCGATCACGCCAACCGCCAAGCCTTGCGCTGACAGGAGAACTGCCATGCTGCGTATCCTGTTGATCAATGACACACCCCGCAAGGTCGGGCGCCTGCGTACGGCGCTGATAGAGGCCGGTTTCGAGGTAATCGACGAGTCCGGCCTGACCATCGACCTGCCGGCGCGCGTCGAAACGGTGCGTCCGGACGTGATCCTGATCGATACCGAGTCACCGGGCCGCGATGTGATGGAGCAAGTGGTGCTGGTCAGTCGCGACCAGCCACGCCCCATCGTGATGTTTACCGATGAACATGACCCGAATGTGATGCGCCAGGCCATCAAGTCCGGGGTCAGCGCCTATATCGTGGAAGGCATCCAGGCCCAGCGTCTGCAGCCGATCCTCGATGTGGCCATGGCCCGCTTCGAGAGCGATCAGGCCTTGCGCGCGCAGTTACAGGCGCGGGACCAACAGCTGGCGGAACGCAAACGCATCGAGCTGGCCAAGGGCATGCTGATGAAAATGAAGGACTGCAATGAAGAAGATGCCTACACCTTGATGCGCCGCCAAGCCATGAGTCGTCAGCAGAAATTGATCCAGGTGGCGGAGCAGATCATCGCCATGAGTGAGCTGCTCGGTTGATTTGGCTCAGCTCTTGCTAATGAATCATCACAGGTAACCAACGGCGGTTGCCCCTCCACGACAAAGACGTCGCACATCCGGTTTGCCCTCGCGAACCCGGTGGCGGCGTTTTTTTCGTTTTGGCCCCTGTGTGGGGCCGGTGGGGCGGCCGTAGTGGCTGTTCCATCACCAGGCCTTCTTACAAGACTCCTAACCGTTGAGGTGCGTGATGAAATCAAGCTTCTGGAAATCCGGGCACACCCCGACCCTGTTTGCCGCGTTCCTGTATTTCGACCTGAGTTTCATGGTCTGGTATCTGCTGGGCCCGCTGGCGGTGCAGATTGCCGCCGACCTGCAATTGACCACCCAGCAACGCGGCCTGATGGTAGCGACACCGATCCTGGCCGGTGCGGTACTGCGTTTTCTGATGGGAATGCTGGCCGACAGGCTGTCGCCCAAGACCGCCGGGCTGATCGGCCAGGTGATCGTGATTGTCGCGCTGTTCGGGGCCTGGAAACTGGGCATCCACAGTTACGAACAGGCCCTGCTGCTGGGGCTGTTTCTGGGTATGGCCGGCGCGTCCTTCGCCGTGGCGCTGCCCCTGGCTTCACAGTGGTACCCCGCCGAGCACCAAGGCAAGGCCATGGGTATTGCCGGTGCCGGTAATTCGGGCACGGTATTCGCTGCCTTGCTGGCCCCGATGCTCGCAGCGGCGTTTGGCTGGAGCAGCGTGTTCGGGTTTGCGCTGATTCCGTTGATCTTGACGCTTGTGGTCTTCGCCTGGCTGGCGCGCAATGCCCCTGAACGGCCGAAAGCCAAATCCATGGCCGACTACTTCAAGGCCCTGGGCGACCGTGACAGCTGGTGGTTCATGTTTTTCTACAGCGTAACGTTCGGCGGCTTTATCGGCCTGGCCAGCGCATTGCCCGGCTATTTCAACGATCAATACCACCTCAACCCGGTGACTGCCGGCTACTACACCGCCGCATGCGTGTTTGGCGGCAGCCTGATGCGTCCGCTGGGGGGGGCTCTGGCGGACCGATTCGGCGGCATCCGCACCCTGCTGGGCATGTACAGCATCGCGGCCATCTGCATTGCCGCCGTGGGCTTCAACCTACCCAGTTCGTACGCAGCATTGGCGCTTTTCGTCTGCACCATGCTCGGTCTCGGCGCAGGCAACGGCGCGGTGTTCCAGTTGGTTCCGCAGCGCTTTCGCCGTGAAATCGGCGTGATGACCGGGTTGATCGGCATGGCCGGCGGCATCGGTGGCTTCGCGCTCGCGGCCGGCATGGGCGCGATCAAACAGAGCACCGGTAGCTATCAACTGGCCCTGTGGTTGTTCGCCAGCCTGGGCGTACTGGCATGGTTCGGTCTGCACGGCGTCAAGCGTCGCTGGAGAACCACTTGGGGCTCGGCCGCCGTAACGGCTGCACGCGTCTGATGAGCCTGCAACTGAGCGTCGCCCAGGCCAGCGCCATCGGCCCGCGCACGGAAAACCAGGATGCGCTGCGGGTGGTCACCCCCGTGGCGGAACTGGCGGCCAGCAAAGGCTATCTGTGCGCCATGGCCGACGGTGTCAGCCAATGTGCCGATGGCGGATTGGCCGCGCGCTCGACGTTGCAAGCCCTGGCGATGGACTACTACGCCACGCCGCAAACCTGGAGCGTAGCCCAGGCACTGGAACGTTTACTGCTGGCCCAGAATCGCTGGTTGCAAGCCAACGGTGGTGGCCAGCCGCTGCTAACGACTCTAAGTGCCCTGGTGTTTCGGGGCCAGCGCTTTACCCTGGCCCATGTAGGAGACTGCCGCGTCTATCGCTGGCTGGACGGCCAACTGCAACGCATCAGCGAGGATCACGTCTGGGAACAGCCGGGCATGCAGCACGTCCTTAAACGTGCGCTGGGCCTGGATCAACATGTGGTGCTGGATTTTCTAGACGGCCACTTGCGCGAGGGCGAGTGCTTCCTGCTGCTCAGCGACGGCGTATGGGCAACCTTGGCCGAGCACAGCATCCAGACCATCCTGCGTGAGCAGGCGGACCTGGACGTAGCTGTGGCCACCTTGGTCAATACTGCCCACTTGGCCGGCAGCCAAGACAATGCCAGCGCGTTGCTGGTACGCGTTGATGCCTTGGGTGCCGCCACCCTCGGCGACGCCCTGGGGCAGTTGCAGCAATGGCCGCTGCCACCGCCATTGAAACCCGGCCAACCGTTCGAAGGCTGGCGGGTGGAAGCATTAGTGGCGCAAAGTCGACAATCCTTGCTCTACCGGGTCCGCGATACCCAGCAACAGCCCTGGCTGTTGAAAACCTTGCCACTGAGCCATGACGACGATAGCCAAGCCGGCCAGGCTTTGCTGGCCGAAGAGTGGTTTTTGCGGCGCATGGCCGGACGCGCATTCCCAGAAGTGCACAGCGCCGGTAGCCGGCAGCACTTGTATTACGTCATGCGCGAGTATCCCGGACAAACCCTCGCCACCCTGTTCCAGCTTCAGGGGCCCCTGCCTCTGGCCCAATGGCAGTCCGTCGCCGAGCGCTTGCTGCGGGCCGTGGGCCTGCTGCACCGGCGGCAAATCCTGCACCGCGATATCAAACCGGAAAACCTGTTGTTGGGGGACGACGGCGAGTTGCGCGTGCTGGATTTCGGCCTGGCTTACTGCCCCGGCCTGTCGGAAGATCGAGCCCACCAACTGCCGGGCACTCCAAGTTTTATCGCGCCCGAAGCCTTCAATGGCGAAGGGCCTACCGCCCAGCAAGATTTATACAGCGTTGGCGTCACCTTGTATTTCCTGCTGACCGGGCATTACCCCTACGGCGAAATCGAAGCCTTCCAACGGCCCAGATTCACCCAGCCTGTCAGCGCGAGCCGCTATCGCCCCGACCTACCGGACTGGCTGCCGCTGAGCCTGGAACGGGCGGTGGCCGCCCAGCCGTCGCAGCGTTACGAAACCGCCGAAGAATGGCTACTGGTACTGGAGCAGGCTGACCGGCGCGAGCTGAGCATCCGCCCCAGGCCTTTGCTGGAGCGAGAACCGCTAAAAGTCTGGCAAACCGTGGCACTGCTGTCGGTGCTGATCAATCTGGTGCTGCTGTATGCACTCCTTCACAACTGAGTATCTCTACACGAGGGCAACCCTATGAACGCAAAAGTCTGGTTGGTGGGCGCAGGTCCCGGCGATCCGGAGTTGTTGACCCTCAAGGCGGTCCGCGCCCTGTGTGAAGCCGACGTGGTGTTGATCGATGATCTGGTCAACCCGGCAATTTTGGACCACTGCGCCGCGGCGCGCGTGATCACCGTGGGCAAACGCGGTGGCTGCCGCTCCACCCCACAGGACTTTATCCACCGCCTGATGTTGCGCTATGCACGCCAGGGCAAATGCGTGGTACGCCTCAAGGGCGGTGACCCGTGCATTTTCGGACGAGGCGGCGAAGAGGCGCTGTGGCTGCGGGATCGGGGCATTGAGGTGGAACTGGTCAATGGCATCACCTCAGGGCTGGCAGGCGCGACCAACTGTGGGATTCCTCTGACATTGCGTGGTGTAAGCCGTGGCGTAACGCTGGTTACTGCGCACACCCAGGATGACAGCCAACTGAACTGGCGCGCCCTGGCCGAGGGCGGGACTACCCTGGTCGTGTACATGGGGGTGGCAAAACTGGAAGAGATTCGTCAGCAGTTGATGGAGGGTGGCATGGCGGCAGATATGCCCGTGGCGATGATCGAGAATGCCTCGCTGCCCCAGCAGCGCGAGTACCGTAGCCTGTTATCGCGCATGCACAAGGATGCCCACGCATTCGCCCTTAAAAGCCCGGCGATCCTGGTCATTGGCCGTGTTGCCGCCAGAGAACAAGCTGCATATGTCGCAGCCGCCGCCAGCGCATGACACAAATGGTAGGCGAAAAAAAACCCGGCCTGAGCCGGGTTTTTTCTACAACTCAGTAATTACTGAGCGGTAGCTTCAACCGAAGCTTCTACGCGACGGTTGATAGCGCGACCAGCTTCAGTTGCGTTGTCAGCAACTGGGCGGGATTCGCCGTAACCTACAGCAGTTACACGGCTAGGAGCCACGCCGTCTTTAACCAGGACTTGCTTAACAGCGTCAGCACGACGCTGGGACAGCTTCTGGTTGTAAGCGTCTGGACCTACGGAGTCAGTGTGACCAGCTACTTCTACGTTAGTAGATGGGTACTGAGCCATGAAGTCGGCCAGGTTTTTCACGTCGCCGTAGCTGTTAGGCTTAACAACGGCTTTGTCGAAGTCGAACTTAACGTCCAGCTCAACACGAACAACCTGAGCAACTGGAGCTTCTGGCTCTGGGGTTGGCTCTGGAGCTGGTGCTGGGGTAGGAGCTGGAGCAGCTGCGCCAGCGTTACCGCCGAAGTTCACGCCCAGGCCGACCAGTGCGGAGTAATCCCACTTGCCGTTGTCCAGACCGTAGTCAGCTTCAACACCGGCACGAGCGTACAGGTTGTTGGTGAAGTAGTACTTAACGCCGGTACCGACAGTGGCGAAAGTGGTCTGATCGCGACCGCTGTGACCGTCAGCCTGTACGTTGGTACGGCTCTGGTGACCGAAACCGCCTTCTACGTATGGACGCAGGGAGTCTACGCCAGCTTGACCGAAGTGATACTGGGCAACCAGGCTGCCGGTATCGCCTTTGATCTTCTGGTTACCAGTACCGTCGTTCGAACGGGTGTGGTTGGTCTTGTCGTAGGACAGGTTCAAGGACAGGTCGTCGGTCAGGAAGTAACCGATGCGAGCGCCAGGATTGAAGCCGTCTTCGATGTGCTTGACGCTATCGTTGTACTGCTTCTTGTAGAACAGCTCGCCTTCAACTGCGCCTTGGCCTTGTGCCAGAACGCCGAAAGAAGTAGCGGCAATAAGAGAACCAATGGCCAAGCCCAAGGTGTTTTTCAGTTTCATCCGTTAAATCCCCATCTGGTGATTGTAAAGCAGTCCCACAAACCGGGGGACAACTCGGCGACAAGTCTAACAGAACTTGCCTACACGTAAGAGATATTTGCCACGCACTAAGTTTCAGTCTCGCCCGCAAATTTCTCACGTAATTTATCAAGAGCACGTTTGTAACGCATTTTTGTAGCACTCAAACCCATATGCATGATGTCGGCGATTTCCTGAAACTCCAGCTCTGCGACAAAACGTAGCACCAGAATTTCTCGGTCAATCGGATTCACATGCACCAACCAGCGATCGAGCCCGCCCTTTTCCTCGGGTGTCGGCGCCTTTTCTTCAGACGCCTCCTCAAGGGGGTCCAGGCTCAAAGCGTCCATCAAGCGACGCTTTCGCCGTTCCTTTCGATACTGCGTGATGCACTCGTTGTACGTGATGCTGTAGAGCCAGGTCTTGAACTTCGATTTGCCCTCGAAGTTCTTCAGGCCGTACAACACCTTGAGCATCACTTCCTGACAGACATCGTCAGCATCTCTATCGTTCCCCAAATACCTTGAACAAACGTTGAACAGAGTGCGTTGATATCTGCGCATCAATTCTTCGTACGCGCGAGTTACGTGAAACAGCTCCGTGTGCGAACGCGCGACCAACTCCTCATCAGAGAGCTCACGGGGGTCATAGCGCGTGGACAGCGATTGGGCTTTATTCAAAACAAGTCGTGCCGACAGTCAGGTCAATGTCCGCTGCGGCCCGGTCACCCGGGTTCGCGGCGGCGTACATTAGCAGGGTTTGCCGGTTTAGCGGCTACTGACCTGCTGTTCCAGGAGAATGCGATTGGACAGCGACACCAGCTCGCCGTCATCGGTCAACACGGTCGTCTTGACTGTGCCGATCTCCTCGATTTGCCCTTCGACCTCGCCCACACGCACCTGTTGGCCCACCTGGTACAACTCGCGCACATAGATTCCTGCAAGAATCTGACCGGCAATTTCCCGGCTACCCAAGCCCATGGCCAGCGCAACGGCCAGACCAACGGTAATCAAAACGATCACAATCACATGGTTGAGCAGGTCAGTCTTGACCTCCAACTGGCTGATCGCGACCGAAATACTGATGATGATCACCAGCCCCTGGGCGATCCGCCCCAGGCCGGCAGCGTAGTCCAACCCCACGCCTTCGGCGGCTCCGCGCACCAGCCCGTTGGCCAACTGCGCCAGTAAAACACCTACCAACAGCACCAGCGCGCCGCCGAAAACCTTCGGCAAATACAGCGCAAGCATGTCGAGCGTAGCTGAAACTCGCTCAAGGCCAAGGGATTGAGCGGCAGAAACCAGAAAAATCAGCAACACGAACCAGTAGACGATCTTGCCGACCAGTGTGGAGATCGGCACTTGCAACCCGGCGCGCCCCAGCAGCTTGGTCAGGCCGGTGCCTGCCATCAAGCGATCAAGGCCCAGTTTCGCGAGCAATTTGGACAGCAGGGTGTCGAGCAGCTTGGCCACGACAAAACCCAGCAACACCAGGACCAGCGCACCGAACAGGTTGGGAATGAAGTTCGCCACCTTGGTCCACAATGCGGTCATCGCGGTGACCAGGCTCTGGGTCCAGAGATCAAGTTCCATATTCAATCAGCCTTATCAGCAGTGCGAGCAAGAGGTTTACGACGGGAAACCGGTGAAACATGGGCAGAACCATTGTTCAGCGCCATCATCAAGGCCGGCAGCCAACGACCGAGCAGACCGAACAGATCCCCCGCCCCGACCTGACGGTTGGCGGTTTTCAACACGCGCCCCAGGCAAGCATCGTCATCGCGGTTGGACGGCGAAGCATTGAGCATGTCACGCAAAGACTGTTCGAACGGATCGTGCATAAAGACCTCTCGCAAGTGATTTAAAAGACGAGGGTAAATTTCATGGGGTCACATGAGACCCTTCCTACGTTCAGCTCATATTCAGCTCAAACCCAGCGCAACCGTCTAAACAGCCACCATTGCCCGAGCGCCACCGAGACCATCAGCAGGCACGCAAGCATGAATCCATAGGGGCTGGCCGAGAACGGAATGCCGCCCACATTGATGCCCAGCAAACCGGTCAGGAAACTCATCGGCAGGAAGATTCCAGTGATGATTCCGAAGCGGTACATGGTGCGGTTCATGCGTACGCTCAAACGCCGGTCTTCGGCCTCCAGCACAAGCCCCACGCGCTCCCGGGTCAATTCGAGCTCCTCCAGATAGCGTGTGAGGCTGTTGTTCAATTCGTTCCAGTAATCAGCATCGTCGTCACAGAACCACGGCAGTTTGATCCGCGTGAGCTGGGCAAAAATATCCCGCTGCGGTGCCAGAAATCGCTTGAGCCCGGCCGCTCGCCGGCGGATCTGCAACACGCTGCCATGCTCTGGGGTATACCGTTCGTCGGTATCGAGTTTTTCTTCCTCGGCATCGACGATTTCAGACAAATCCGTGACCAGATCCTGCACTTTATTGGTCAGGTACTGCGCCATATAAAGGATGAGCTCCGACGCGGTACGCGGCCCCTTGCCGTCCGCCAGTTGCACCAGCAACTCATCGGTGGCGCGCAACGGGCGCAGACGCAGGGAAATCACCCGGTTGGCCGCCGCGAAAATGCGCACCGAGACCATGTCTTCCGGTTCGGCGCCTGGATTGAGGTTGACCCCTCGCAGAAATAGCAACAGCTGCGAATCCGGCAGCGGCAACAGGCGCGGGCGAGTGTTTTCCTCCAGCAACAGGTCGCAGGCGAATTCACTCAAGCCACTGGATTTGCGCAGCCAGGTCTGCGTCTGGGGATGGCTGCGATCCCAGTGCAGCCACAGACTTTCCTCTGGCTGCAACTGCAGGTCATCCAGCTCAGTCCGGGCAATCGAACGCGCACCGCCTTTACCGTCCAGCACCAGGGCATGCACCAGCCCCCATTGCGCGTTTTCTTCCTCGAACATCCTCACCCCTGTCGGCTTTTACGATTTATTCAGGCATTTTCAACGGGCTGGGCGACACGATCACGCCATTGTTATCGGCATAGACGTATTCCCCCGGGCGGAAGGTGACGCCGGCAAATGTGACCGCCACGTTCAGGTCGCCAATGCCACGCTTGTCGGTTTTCATCGGGTGACTGGCCAAGGCTTGTACGCCCAGGTCGGTCTGGGCGATGACGTCGACATCGCGGATGCAACCGTAGATGACCAGCCCTTCCCAACCGTTTTTCGCGGCTTTCTCGGCGATCATGTCGCCCAGCAGCGCGCGGCGCAGGGAACCACCACCGTCGACCACCAGCACCTTGCCGGTCCCCGGTTGGTCGGCCTGTTCCTTGACCAGCGAGTTATCCTCAAAGCACTTGATGGTAACAATCTCGCCGCCAAACGAGTCTCTGCCGCCAAAATTGCTGAACATCGGCTCGACCACCTGCACCAATTCGGGGTAGGCGTCGCACAGGTCGGGGGTCACGTAATGGTTCATCGAAAAAATCCTTTCTGCCAGAGAAGTGTCTTTCAAAGAAGTACCGGGCGAAACGGGTGGGAAACATCCCATCGGTTTCACTGCAACGCAATAGCCTCTACGCGACTGAATATGACCAGAAGCGTCCGGCGCGTCATATCTTAGCCGCAACCTCGCAGGAGTGAAACGCCCTTGGTAGAGCGCTTGGTCAAACAGCGGCGAGAGCCTGCGCCGGGGCGCCGAACAAAGGTGTTATAGGGTCTTTCAACCATTGCTCCACCAGAGGCCAGACCTCGGCCTGGGCAGCTTTGCTGACCAGCATCTCGACGTGCCCGAAATCTTCGGTAAACCCGTGCTTGCGTCCCAGACACACATATTGCCGATGCTCAGTGCCGACTTGTTCGAACAGCTTGCGGCAAGCCCAGTCCGGGTCCTGATGGTCGCCCGCCGCACTTACCGCCAACAACGGCACGTCGACGTCCGCCAAGCCCTTCCACCAGTCACGCTCGGCATCGCCGAAGCGCCCGAACAGCCCGTGCCAGCGCATATTTTCAATCAATACCCCCACCGGCTCGTCTTCGGGCCCGCGTTTGAAACGCGCACCG